ATAACTATTAGTGGATTCTTATACATTCTTTCCCATATTTTCCACGTAAGCAAGCAGGTCTGCAGGACTAGAGTAATGTTAGGTAGTGGGATATATAGATACAGGAGGATTTCGGCGGTGGGAATTCAGAACAGTGCTTAGAAGAGAATGTTCGGCACAGTGTTTTCAACACTGTAAAGAACGGTTGAGAATAAAGGTTGAAGGAATTTTTTTGATTTTGAAGTGGCTGTGAAGGAAATTTGCATACTGAGAGTTTGGCACATTGACTGCTTGCGAGACTATGTAGATCAATACGGAAGTGTAGCAGCAATTTTTAAAATTCTGAGATGGGAATGATAGTAATTTTACTGTGAAAGATTGGAAGCCGATTAAGAGCAGTAAGGGTTTGGTGGAGTAAGAAACAACGAAAAGTTGAGAGAAGAAGAAAAAGAATAAGAGAAAGTAAGGAAAAGGTAAGGATTCTAATGTGGTCATTATGTTTTATATTCTCTAAATTCAACAAAGTTCTAAAGATGATAATTGACTTGTATTGTAGGATTATTTGTATATTTGTGCAGAAAGAAGGTTTTGAGTTGATGTATCAAAGGAGAAGGTTACGTGGTGTAGATTTGGAAGAGATCACTAGTCAAGGAGATAAGTAATGCCTTCAAATTCAAATAAAACAACTTTCAATTATAATCATGAAGGTAAATTTTGAACGCATTAAAGTGAAATGTTCTTAAACTTGTTTAATGTATAAAAAATGTTTTTTTTTCAAGTTTTCAAGTATGAATGATCAGATACATAATTTAATCAGGTAAGTGTAAAATAAGGTTTTGTATGGTAATCTAAATGTTTTCCTATTTGATACTGTTTTGAAAAGATATTAATTCTCTTGCACATGGTATGCATTTTAATTGTGTATAGAGTAGAACAGAAATGATTATGAAGAATGCAATAACTTATATATGACTTGTGAATACTGAAAAGTTGATAAATATCAATTTAAAAGTTAAGTTTGACTATAATTGGTGTATAACTTACTAATGTATGTGGGACAAAAAGGTTTTCTCATATATAAAAATACATTGTAAGTGGGACAAAATGAACCCCAGAGATTATGATATCTGCATAGTAGGTGGGGCAAAAAGGGACCCCCTAAATGAGCAAAAGGGACCTCTAAAGAGGCAAAAGAGACTTCTATGTAATTCAATGATGATAATGTCATGTTTACCTGGACTCCATTGAATTATGTTATTAAAATGTAATTAAATCTGTTAATGAGTAAAATTGATATTCATTATAGATTTAAAAAAAGAAAATAAATGTTAATATCAAGAGAGATTTTATGAAGTTTTCTTAAGTAGTTTAACTTTTATTTATGTTTTCAATATTATGAATTTTATAATCATGCAAGTAAAATTCTATTTAAACTTGCAAAGCTTATAGAGCCTCATAACTCACTAGTATTTTCTTACTGACTGTTATTACAGTAAAAGAAAAGATCGGAGACAACTAATTCTAAGTACTTGAATGTTTCATGTTAATTTTAGGTCTGTTTATAAGACTAACTTAAGATATGTGAACTTTATAATGAAGTATTACTTTAAATTTTTGTAGTGGCTCTGTGAATATCTTATGTTGAAATTTAAAGTTATTAATTGCTTATGTTTGATGAGATGTATGAGAACTGAACTCTTAGTTGTTTTTTAATGTTCAAAAGTATCGTATAATTAGTAAATGAAAGGTCTATATTTGTTATACTCCTTGTACTGTTGAGATGTACTATGGTGTGTTACAATTAAAGCTTCATTTGGGACAACTTTCTTACGGCTAATTAGTGCAAATTTTTTTACTAAAAAGTTTTTAAAAAGGAATAAAAAAAACCATTACAAATAAAATCCAAGATAAATTGCATATAACTTAAGTTTATTTTGAAAAATCTGTAATACAAATTTTGATTTATTATTCATGATTTATTTCCTCTTTCATCTGACAATTAGTCTAAGATAAAAAAACTCATCATGACTAAATTCAAAATTCAAAAAACTGATTTATAATCAATTGAATTTGATTCAAAGACGAAATTAGTCTCAGACTAAGATAATTAAATCAAATCAAATATAAGTTTTGTTGGAGATAATTTTCTTCCTGCTTTTTAAAGTAATAAAAAAGTTATCCCAAATAAAGTCATAATAAGAGAACAAAGCATTTAGTTGGACAAATATGAGCTTGAATACATCAGCTGAAGCCAGTTGCCTCTGAAACCAGTCCCAGACATACAAATGTTCAACCTTAAAAACCAAGGGAACTTTTCTCAGATTCAGAAAATCAATCATGAAAAATAATAACTGTTTTCTTATGACAAATTATAAATTCAATCACTACCAAGCTCGCATCTTCTCATTCTTAACAATCAGAGACAACAGGACAGCACCCAATTTGAGGCTCAACAATCTGCTACTAGATGAGGATGATTCAGAGTAGTATAATCTGCAAAGATTAGGAGAGCTGGTCTCTGTGCACAACTCTCTAGATTTCTCATTTTTCTCAGTTGTGTTTGTTCTTTCAAGCACGGTGGCTTTCAGGATTCACCTCTTCCGCAGTTTGCGAACTTCTTCATGTATAGGATGGAAAAGAACTGTGGAAATATATCTCTCTCCAAAACTGGGGAAAATAACCTGTACATTGCATTCAAGTTAGTAATTTTGCATGCTCATGGACTACAAATACCGCCTAATCATTAAAAAAAACTTCCATTTTCTGCGTTAGTTCTTAATGTCAAAAGGAATAAAAAAACCATGCATTTTAAACTTCAAATTAATGTGCATAGTATACTTCTTTGTACTGCTTAGGAAGTAATTCTTTTCAAATGGCATTTTGACATGTGAAAAATATATTTCTTACAAATAATTTTCATTGTTGTATTATTAGCCTTACCTCAATTATTTGGGATCAATTTTGTGAATCATTGGTTTTCATTTGTTCTTACTTAGTGTTATTTGAGATATAAAATATATTCTTCCTAAACTATTTTAAACTTTTATCTATCAAATCTTATATCTCCCATTCGTCTCAATGACCCATTGAAACTAATATTATGTACTCACATTATGGGTGCACTGAGAAACATGCAATTGCATTGTGCAATCACTCTTAAAATTTTATAAACCCTCATTTAAAAGTCAAACTAGTCATTGCACGGTGTTCTTGAGCGGTTCACACTACCAATAGAATAGGATCGTAAGTTCTAATTTTGTAAGTCTGATCTTCCTTGCAAAGGCTAAAACCAATAATACTTGAACCTCGAAAATGGCCTCGTTAACTGAGAATCTCCACAGGAGAGAACTTTATTTTCAAAATGCCTTAAAATCCCCATGCAAATCATTCTGGGGCCGAATTCAAGTAAAATACAAGAATATCAAAGGCTAGAGCAAAATCTAACCCCATAACCATTTAATAAGGTTGATAACTTTGAGATTAATCGCAGCTCATAAAAAAGCCATTTTTATATTAGATGTATCATTATGTTCACTCTCAAAATATCATACACCTATAAAGACGTGACACATGTTCTATAACAGGATGATTTTGCTACCAAATGGCATTAGTTTAATAAAGATTAAAACTGAGACCCTCTAAAAGGGTGGTTTGCTACAAAATGACATCATTATATTATCATCACGACCATAACCTGAATTTTCCTTAATGGCTCTAGCCCCTTGAGTTGTGAGTCAAAAGGTATACTTAATAAAGCCCTTTATTAGCTAAGGTTAACTTAAGATTGTCCTCTTAGACAAACATCTACACTAAGTCTAAAAAGTTCCCTTGGACGACCTAACCCATGGTTGCTGACAAAGATTTTTTGGTCAGATTGGGTTGACTAACTCCATTGACTAAGCAGACAAGGATCCATGACAAATTGAGACGACGGAATCACAAGATCTTGATCGAGTTTGCTATTATTCCCACTTTAAGTTAACAACAATAAATTTTCAATCCAAATATAAAAAATTGATGCTACAAAACATTAAGCTTCTAGTGTCAAATTAACGACTAATTTTGATAAAAAATTCTTTCCTATCAATGGAAGGGCTAATTCGTATAGAGGCTTGTGCCTATATGAAACCTGAAAACAAATCATAATATCATCCCAAAATGAGGATAAAATCTCTAATTAGTGTCTTATTTATAATAAAATCTTCTAAAATTTTCAACCAAAACTTGACTCACTCAAAAGAACTGAGCATAAATTTTCGGAGCCCACACATGGCTAAAAAGTAGAAGTTCTCTAAATCTATAAGGTCCCATTAGACGACGCAACCTACGGTTATCGACAATGATAATTTGATTAGGCTAGGTCGACTAACTTTGCAAATAAAGTAGAATAAGGTCCATAATAACCCAAGACAAAGGAAGTAAGGAACCATGTGATTTTAATTGGATTAATCATCATTCCCCTCTTCATGAACTCTTCATGGACTCTAAGAAAAAAAAAGAAAGTACATTTTCTCAATTCTAAATCAAAAGTGCTTCTACTAAAAGCTAAATGTTTAGCACCTACCAAGTACTCTTAATTGAAAGTTTTCATAATTGAGAGGTTAATTAACTATAAGAGCTTGTACTCATGAGAAATATGAAATCATATTATAATGTATTTATAAAATGTGAGTGAAACCTCTAGATAATTTTTCATTTGTAATCTATATGCTTTTTTAAAAAAATTTATCTGGAACCACAACTATCTTAGAAGAGTCAGGAATGAATTTTCGAAGTCCACGCTTACTTGAAATTTGCTAATCATTTACTACTGAGCAGGATGATGCACTTATTCAAAGTTCAGGAGAAATAAATGTAGAGAACTCACAATGCTTTTCAAACAGATCAAAAAAGTGTTTGTGGAATGGTATGCATCATCAATCAAAATATGTAAGGTACTAAAATTCCACTTAAATATATGGCCCTTACTGCGATCAGCATTCCTGCATTTTCTGGCCTCCTTGCCACATGAATGGCAGCGGCAGCAGCAGCTCCTGAAGAAATGCCAACCTGGAGAATTAACAGGTTGTTGCAGTGAACAAGAGAAAAATAAATATCTGTAATAAATATATCAGAAAACAAATGTGCTTACCAGCAAGCCCTCTTTCAAAGCTAAGTTTCTCGCAACCTCAACAGCTTCAGCAGTGCTTATCTAATATTTTAGGCATGTAAGAAATGATTGTCTTCAAATATTTAGGGATATAAAATTTCTCATCATTCTTTGTTTCCAATGAAAATTATGACAGAAGAAATAGTTTATTTTACTCGAATATTTCATAAGAAATGTAGCTAAGAGATTCAATTAATATAGAATAGTGCAACCAATTGTAGATTAGTATTCTTGAAGTACAAATCTTAACCACTCAGTTATATGAAATGAATCAAATGATGCTATGACATTTATTGCACATGGACACCCATCAACTCCAACCATCCTACGCAACTATCCTAAAATTTTGTAATGCTAATGAAAATACTTCAAGGAAGCTGCTATGCACAAAGTAAATAACATTCCACTTGCATTCACGTGATTTAACTTGCCTACACTTTGTTATTTATCATTAACTTCAAAAAGTTCTCATATCAATTAAAGATGTAATATGCACAACATTTTCTAGAATCTCAAATAAATATATAGGAACATATTCACAATAACTTCATAAATTCTCTCATTATGGGAAAATACATACTTTAATCGGACTTTCAATGTGATTGAAAGCAAAAAAAAAGAAAGAAAGCAAGAAAACAGAAACAGAATTGTTTGATAAGATGCTGACAATATCTTATGATCAAATGATGGTTTCTCTAAATGAGATATTGTATGATTTAAAATTTGACGTCAGAATATCCAAGTAGGAAACGATAAAAAGATAACAAGTGGCACTTTCATTACCGACACAGTTCAAAGAAGCCTATCTAATAGAAGAATGGCAGCCTAAGATATATCAAGTTCTTCTAATTTCTAAAAATTCTCAGTTTATACAAGATAATGCAATGGCAGATCCAACAAACATACCTTTATAACCTCGTCAATCAATTTAACGTCCAGAATACTCGGTATATAACCTGCAAAATACATCTTAACTTAATACAGAAAAGAGCTTGCAAAATGTATCTAATAGAATAAAGAAAAGAGCTTTCAAACAACTTATGAGAAGTGCATTTACTATCATTACTACCTGGATTGTCCCCAGAAATGACGCTAGTTTCAGAAGGCTCCACTCCAATTATCTGCCAAGTACACAAGAAGTCTACATAGAGTTTATAACAAATAGCTTGTTGCATTTATGCAAAAATCTGCTAATCGAATAAATAGTAGGACATTGAGTCAATATCAGTTATTTTCCTGAGCATGAATATTTTTATACAGTTCCAAGTCTACCACCTATTATTCTACAGAGCAAGACTCATATTGTGAAGTAATTGCTGACTAATTTGATATAACATTTATTTCAATCATCATATCCCAAAAAGATTTAGATGAGAATTTGACTCTTAACAGGACACAATAAAGAAAAATAATTCATGTAGCCGACCCCACATTGTGGGATAAAGGCTTGTTGTTTTTATATCATATCCCAAAAGTAATGTCAAACAGAACCTTTAAACAACCCAATACTCACTGCTAAAATATAAGAAAGTTTTACCCCATATCAAATAAAAGTATTATAGTTAAGCGGTTAAGTAACCTTTGAAACAAGGTAAATAAATTTAGAGAATGGGTGCAATCAGATTAGAAAAATCAAACTTGGAACCGTGTGGGCACACATGCTTCTGTATTTGGTGTAGGATAAGTGAAGGACTCGTGCTGTCACAGAGTCATGTGCTAAAGAAGATATCTCAAGCTGTCACAAAAGATCCATGTGCTAAAGAAGGTAGCTCCATAAAAAAATTTGCTGGGTTTGATGCTTCTAAACTTAACCTTAATTAAATATATTTGTTGAGAGATTTTCCTTATACTATGGATGATGAGTTCAGCAGTAAAGCCAATGCCCTCCTGCCAACAATAAACAGCTTTCTCAGTTGCTCGTGACCCAACACAGCAAAGATCATGCAGGTTGTAGCAACAGCATGGGTCGTTGCCACTGCCCCTAACATACCTTAATAATGGCACTTTATCAAAGTCCATGTTTGATAATACTATATCATTACCAGGCAAGCACATTAAGCTGTCTCCCATTGCTCATCCTAAGCTGATACTTTTTTTCATTTTTCCTTTAGTCAGGGGGTAGAGAAGAGAACATAACCACCCATGTTGATTCTGTCCTGTGATGAACTAGCACATTATCTAACAATGTGAATTCTATCTTTCTATATTTTCTCTCTAGCCAATCCTTGTCAAAATAGCAATCTTCGATAGGATGGCTAATTACAGATGATATGGGTAATAATTTGGATTGCCAGTATAGTTAGATTTCTCTGGTCTCTTGAATTCTGACAATTCTAAACCTACTATGAGTATCTAAAATAACTTAGCAACACTTTCTCTTTTGAATGAATATTTTTTGTTCATTTTGTCTTTAAGGGATGGGAACGTTCGATCACCGGTTCCCACTTATTGACTTGGTCGTTCTCTTCCACCAGGAAAAGTCCGAGGCGTGTCGTTCCCTCCCAGTACTAGCTTTTGCTAACGATTAGGGTTGGCTAGCTATTTTCCCATGTCCTCTTTATAAACAGGTTGTTGGCCCTTATTGATGTCATAGCCACCTGCTTTCCCTTATCTGCCCCAAAAGAGAATGTGGAGTGGGCTTCGCTCTTTTTGGTGTCTAGAGCTTTTTCTTTCTTGAATTTTTCTGAGTGGTTTTTAAATTTTGATAAATTCAACTTCTCAAACTTTGTCACCCTATCTAATAAGTCTTAAAACATGGTGATGGAAGCCATTCACAAAAATGGTACTATCTTGTCAACAATGTTTCCTATTAGCAACTGAATAGCATGCTCCTCTTCTAACTACTGCTCACATTTCGTACTTAAATTACACTGGCTAGTTATATATTTGGTCACTGATTTGTCTCTTTTCCTCTTTGCCAAGGCAAGGTCAGCGATAATTGTCTTTTCAGTCGTATTGGCGGATCTCTTCACGAACAGAGTTTCCAATTCTACGAATGTCTTCACATAATCATTTGGCATTTTAGCGTACTATTCAAAGGCAGTCGTTAAACTATTAACAAACTGTCGGAAGAGTAAGGCATCAATACCCCCTGTATTTTCACATGTGGCCTTGAATTGCGCCAGGTGCTATTTGGGATTGTTGTTGTCACTAAAGGTATTGAACTTCGGGATAGAATATCCTCTTGGATATGACACCTGTTCATATTCTGTCGGGTACAAGCAACTCTTGCCTATTAACTTTTTCATCTGATCTGAAGCTATGACAATCTTAATCTTTTCATTGATGATTGTCTCTAATTGTGTCACTATCACATGCTTGGACGTGCTTGCCACATTTGAAAGAGTAAGCTAGTGAATTAGGTCATTAACCTTGTTAATGTCTTCAGGTGTACCCCGTACTCCTAAAACATGGGGTGCTAGATGAGCTGGTGGATTAGCGAGACCACTAATCAACGATTGATGATTGGTTTGTTGGACCGGTACAAGGTTGACAGTGACATTTCTTTGCATCATTTGCATCACGCTATCATCTCAAACATTTTGTCATTTAACTGAGTTATTTTTCTGTCCTTTACCCTCATCTGATGATGCATCTTCCTATGCGCTTCTACCAGTGTAGTAACGTCATTAAAGAAGACAATATCTTCAAGTTCTTCCTCTTCTTAATTTTCTGAGAGGTTGGCATCTCTACCGGTAGTGGATCCAACCCCGTGTTGGTGCTGATATACTCGTATAAGTGGGGGCTCATCATCATGCTCCACCATGTAGACCACCTCAACTTCCATAGCCTCTTCATCATCATCATCATCTTCTTCTTATATCTTGATTTCCAAGCGGCGACGCTACTGAATTTTCGGTTCATTGCATATCGTAAAAAATTATTCAATCCGTAGACTACGGTCGAAGCCAACTTTTCCTTTGGAGGGGATCAACGAGTGATGGGATCCCTTAGAGGAATCTCCAAGGTGTCAACCAACGGACCGGCTACATTGTGGACCTTTTTTGGGACCCACTTCTGACCGTTTTTGTTGGCGGGTGTAGATATCTGGGAGGTTGCACTAGATGTCACGCCCGGTGGTATTATTCTCTGTGCTATTCTCTCTTTATGGGGCTTTAACCTCTAGATTTCCTTTCCTTTCCACATGGACCTCTCAGCGGTGGATCCTTGAATATGCAGTTTAAGTGTCACACCTCGATGCTCAACATATGGGGCTTATCTTTGTTATATCTTTTTCACTATCACAATAGATGATATATTTCCTTTCTTGAATTTCCTCTTCATTAGTCCCTTCTCCTTTTCCACCTTCAATACTCTAATGTACTTTGGCAGACAATGTTTCGGGTTCCCTCTGGGGGATTGGAGCATGATGTTGCTGCTCCTAGAAGGACTGCTTTAGCTTGGTAGTAGAGCTATTCCTCTTCACCCATTTCAAATCTGAAAATTTGTTCCGGAAGTGTGGAAGGATGGACTGGCAGTGGTTGCTAATCTCGTAGCTCCACGTTGTTCTTCCTTCTCTGCCTCCTTATCAATTTTCTTCCTGATGAGGAAGCTTCAGTATTTATGTCTTTCAAGTGCGACAAACTTGTTTAGTAAGGCGGTGGTTTTGGCAGTCACCACAGAAATTTTCTGTCCAACTACAACCCTTTTTTTAGCTAGTGTCCTTGGCTAGGATAATCTTTCAAAGATAGAAATCATCTTATGAGGAACATCTTCATTAGTAGCAGTTCGCGATGCTGGAAGATGTGCGCAATGTGCATTGGCTTCAGTATAATGAGGCTGGGATAATCTTTTAAAGATAGAAATCCTCTAATGAGGAACATCTTCATTAGCAGCAGTTTGCGATGCTGTCAAATGTGTGCGATGTGCATTGGCTTCAGCATAATGAGGCCTTCTGACAAGCCTTTCAGTTTCCATGCCATATATAAGAATGACAGCAGTCTTTGCAATAGTTGCAAAGAATTTCAATCCACTAAACTAGATGGTGGCTCTAGCATTTTCGGTGTTGATAACGACATTAGATAGCTAAATGCTAACTCCTCATCCCAGCTATACAATAAATGGGGTGTTCTGTAATTGCATTCTGCATAAATGAAATACAAGAGTTAATAATCAAATATTGATACATTATCCACAATTTCAAAATGCAAAGATTGTATAGAATAAAATAACATAAACAAGTAATTTAAATAAATTTAGATCATGCTTAGTAAAATTTTAATGAGTTTCTTAAAGGATTGTTTTAGAATATTTAGAATTTTAGCCCATATTGATTTATTGCTACTATAGTATACAAAAAACTAGCTAAAGATGGAAAGAGAAACATCTCAGTGGAGTTGCTAGAAATTTGTGGGCTTTGAAAATTCCCACCCCGGCCTCTTTGCATCCCCTTTTTTTAGTCAGGTCATCAAGGAGAGTTTTAATGAGCAAGTTATGAGGCAAATTTTTATAAGGTTGATTGAATTTTAGATAAGATTACCCAGATATTTCTCCCTCATTTAGCGAGGACTTTATGATCTGAGTTCAAGTTTCCTATAGGCGTAAGCCCCATAATTAATTACCCCTCTAGATAGTGAGAGAGAACTTTTGATTAAGGCTAGTCATTAAACATATATGTAGTATTTGGCGATAATAACTGCATAATATGAAATTTGAAAATTTGAAATTTATATCATTGCACACTTAAAACAGATGGTGGGGGGAATGATGATGAGCCCAATCAAGATCTCATGGTTCCGTCATCCTAGATCATCATGGTCCCAAGTTTACTTAATCAGAGGAGGCAGTCGACCCAACCTGACCGAAGGATCCTCATCGACAACCATGGATTGCTTCGTCCAAGGGTATCTTGTAGACTTATGATGAATGTTTGCTTAAGGAGATAAAATTTGAAATCACCTTAACTAATAGAGGGTTTTGTTCCTTATAAGTCATATCTTATTGATTCATTACTCAATGATTTAGTGTCGTTGTGAAACATACGGGCTCTGACCATGATCGTAATTTAGTGGTGCCATTTAGCAGCAAAACTACCCATCAGAGAGTCCAAGTCATAACTGTTTACCTGTGGTACCATTTTGCGCGAAACCACTGATTAGAGGAAACATGCTACATCTTTATA